CCTCGGAAGGACGGAAGGCTGAGTCAACCTTGAGCCTGGTGAGATTTGAACTGCCAAATTGCAGGCAGCCGGCAGTCAGCAGAAGTAGCCTGCAGTACTGCATTCTGACCACTGCACCACTGTGGCTCACAAAGGGGGGAAATGTGAAAGGGTGCCTATTTCGTGCCTTTCCTCTCTTCTAGGTCACCAAGAATGGCAGCTCCGAGAAGGATGGGGTTTCCCTCCAGGCTCTTGAGGCCGAGTGGAGGCGGGTGCTGAAGGAGCAGCAGGAGCTGGTGAACACCACCTGCGATTTACGCCAAGCGCTCCAGAGAGCCGAAGACGGGCGAGATAAAGTAAGCGGTCAGGCCTACAAAGCCACAGCATTACGTCTTGGAGGAACACCAGTGGCTTCAGAAAGGGGGGGGGGAAATTGCTGGGGGCAGGAAGAGGCTCAAGGGGGACACCTGGAGGCAACAGGAAGAGCATGGAGATTTGACCAGGGGCCTGAGAAGCACTTGAGAACTGTCATGGCCCCATCAGAGCCTGGATCTGAGGAGGATGATGAAATGGAACCGGGGCCGATGGAGGAGGATTGTGCAAGAGGGGGTGCAAGGAAAAGGGAGGATCCCCCTTGTACAATCCTTCTCCATCGTCCCCAGCTCTGTTTCATCGTCCTCCTCGGATCCAGGCTCCAACGGGGCCATGGCAAGAACTCTACAAAAACCCCACTTCCCTCCAGGAGATTCCTCTGACGGCAGTTCTTAATCTGGAAGGAATGAAGGATTCAATTCTGAATCGATGTGTGGAGGCTAATGATGGAATCCAAAGGGAATAATCAAATCCCTGTGTTTTACTGGATTACTTGACCTTGCCAATGAAAGTGAATCAGATTTAGAGGTGAGTCTAGCTTCACCTGTGTCTTTGTCCCTTCCAATTGGACTGGATATCGTTCTTGCAAGTGGACACAAAGGCCAGGCGAAGCTCTGGACTCTCCCCAAATGCTGTCCAAGAAGAGAAGAGTGACCGCCAACATGGGGATAAAGGTCTCCTTGGCACTGATGAATATTTATATTTAATCTGCATTAAATAAACCTTCCAGCGCACTTTTTCTTTCCATGGGAAGGACAGCCAGCTGATTGACAGTCTCAAATCAATGGAGACTAAATGTATCACCCGTCCCTGCAGTTTTCTTGACAACTTTTTCAGAAGTGGTTCCATTCATCTTCTTCTTCCTAGTTTGAGGGAGATTTATAGAAAACTCTTCTTTCTCTTTCCTGAGCCAAGGTGGCGCAGTGGTTAAAATGCAGCACTGCAGGCTACTGCTAGATCAGC